TATACAAAATAAGAGGTTTTATTGCAAATGGGCTCTGACATTATGGGTGGGCACTTGGAAACAAAAACTGAAATCGAAACACGAACCAAATCGGACTGCACCGAACGATTTGGCTTTGCAGTTTTGAAACGGTTTCGATTTTGGTCCCTGAGTTTCAAAAATCGATAAATTTGGTCCCTAACTTTTAATACCACACGTCAATTTAATCTTTCCGTTAAAGTTTCGTCAATATTTTTTGTCTCACTAATCCAATCATATGGGCCACGTGGATTAACAAGAAACTATTTTTTTTTTTTTTAAGATTTAAAACTAAAAGTATAATAAGAAACTAAAAACCAACACTAAAAGAGAAAAAAAAAAAGTCATCGTCGTCTTCATCAAGGTATGCTCAAAAAGAAAAGGAAGACATCATGACACCACTAAAATACTTCGCCTCCTGAACTCATTCCTCATTTCTCTCTAGTTGGTTATCTTCCTATCAAATTTGAATTGAATTTGGATTCTGATTTTATCGAATTTAGATTGAATTTTTTTTCCAATTGGGGTTGTGGGATGCGAGAAAAATGTCAGCGTGAAATACTAGTCTGTTGGTTAACTATTAAAAAAATGGTTTTTTTTTATTTTTTATTTTTTTAATTTTTTTATTTTTTATAGTTGATTCACATGGAACCATATGATTGGATTAGTGTGACCACATCAGCACACAAACGAAAAATATTGATGAAATTTTAAAGAATAGACTAAATTGATGTGCAGTAGTGAAAGTCAAGGATCAAATTTATCGATTTTTGAAACTCAGGGACCAAAATAAGGAGTTCGATTTTTGAAACTCAAGGAACAAAATAAGGAGTTGGATCAATATCATGAATCATTTGCAATAAAAAAACCCCTATTTTGTGTAATCCACGTGTCACCATTTCATTGGATTTGTGGATCCTACATACAAACTAATAGAATAGTTGACGAAATCCTAATAGAATGACTAAATTGACGTGCGATAATGAATGTAAGGGATGATATTGATTGATTTTGAAAGTAAGAGACTAAAATGATAAGTTTGATCAATCTCAGAGACCATTAATGATAAAAACTCAAAACAAAATAAAAAACTAATTAACTTCTGATTTGGTTAATGTGTTGTACATGAAATTTGTAAAGGAAAATAATTGCCTCATCCCTTGTCTTTTTTATTTTTATTTATTTATTTATTTTTATTTTTTACAAGAAGCGAGGTTTTAAAAGACGTTAGGTGCTAGTTGGGCGGCAGTTGGAGCCTAGCGCCTAAGGCGGACTAGGTAGATTTAAGTAAATTTATTATATATCGTATAAATAAGTGCATTCTTATACTTAAAAAAGTACATAATCGTATTGAGATACATATAAAATGTCATATAGATTATAAAACATTATAACGTATTGAAAACATGGGGAACAAACATATAATGAGTGTCCATTCAAGTATTCAGTAAGTCTCTTACAATTTATTGAAAAAATAAAAAATAAAATGCAAAATAAAAGTTATTGATTTTCGGTTTAAATGAGAGTCACAACCTAATTGGGTATGGGCGGGCATCTAAGCAAGTCTAAACGCTCTTTATTAGTTTTCAAACGCTTAGGAATTAACTAGAATGTGGTCAACCGCCTAACTCCTAAGCAGCGTTAAGTGGAGATTTTTAGAACACTGACAAGAAGCGATAAAGCGATATTTCATTAAACAATACAAAAGATACATACGTGCTAATTGGTTACATTGCTCGAGAGACCAAAGAAATTGATCTAGAGTAAAAAAAAAATATTATTGTTGTGAGTATGAATCCCACATCTGAGTCACGAAGGACCTTGCATGTGCTTATAAGTATTAATCTACTCTTCACATAACCAATTGTTTTATGGTGGAACTTCAACTTCTTTATGGTATTAAATCATGTTGTTCCATATGTGAAGCTCAATGACCGCACATACTTCAAGTCATTTAATTTGTGTTGTTTACGCGCTAGACTAAAAAAAGCACCACACCTAAGCAGCAGCGGAGCTGGAAAATTTTTGTTGTGAGGTCATGATATTGGAGAATTAAATATTAATTGGCTTTTTAGATTAAAGTAGCATTGTTTTGCTTAACATTGGGGTCACTTTACTAAAATCATGTGGTCAAATTAGCAGTTTAATGGAACAAAGAAACATGATGTTGGTGTCAAGGGACTTCATTGCTTGCAGTTTCCGTCACTGCACATGAGAGGTCTTACATGTACTTATAAATAAAGGAAAGCTAATGAAAAATGTTTGAAAACTTTAAGTTTTAACAATAAAGACAAAATAAAGGGTAAATTGAATAGTACCAGGATTGATTTTTTAGTGTAAAAATATGGTTTTTCGTTAAAGTGAACAGTACCTCGGGCTTTTCGTTAAAACTCCTTATAAATAATTGAGTTACTCGGTATATAACCAATTAGTTTTATGGTGAAACCTTAACTTCTTTAATCACCGATTGATGTTTCATAAATAATCTATACAGAAAAATAAATTTCCCTGCAAGGAGATATATTTTGTCTCTACCTTTCTTACTTATTGAAAGACTTATCACCCTTATGATTGAGAGTAAAAGTTCACCATAAAACTAATTGAAAATATGAGATTTGTACCCGTAACACGTATAACAATATTCTGTGAATTCAGGTTGCTATCTTATTTGATTAGCTTAACAATTGTCAAGAGTTCAAAGTGATCCAAGTTCACGCTAATAATGGAATACTGTTGCTCACACACTGTTTCCTTATTCATATTTTTCCCTTCTAGTGTTAGATCTGATAATTTATACACTAGCTGATTAGTGTGCATATAATGTCACGAGGGGGTTATATGATGGTTTAGCATTAAGAAATAAAACTGTTTTGCCTTGCCCCTTTCTGTTTGCTCAAACAGTAGTTTTCAATTCACCATATAAGATTCTCTGCTTCTGTTCGATTTATAGTGAGTGGGACCCCAGGTTTTACAAGAAACTAATAAAACTGACAAATAAACGAAGTTGCTTTGATACGTTATTTCCAACAATTAGATTTTGTCGAGACATAATCAAAGACTCCTTGCACGCTCAAAGACGTAAAACAGTTACTTGCTGAACATGACTTAGCAACATTACCCTGGGGGGTTCGTCACCCCATCTGAGGACCTCTATATAAAGGACGGAGGATAATCTGAAAAGAAAAAGAAAAGGAAGAAAAGGAAAGTACCCCTACGATTGCAATTTCTCCTGTGTATGTCATAATGAGCCTAAGGCTTCTCTCCTTTATATGTAAGATCCGTGTACAAACACAAATATCATATATGTTTTTTAATCAAAATAATTTCTGAGATTTGTATAATTCATCACTTTGATTCTTGAGATTTGAAATCATTAAAAATGATCTCTAAGTTTGTCTACCATCAATCATTTTGATCATTTCATGAAAAAATATATTAAATAAGGATCAAAATAACAAAAATACTCTTAATTTAATAAACAATAGGCCAAATGATTTGATAAAAATTGAGGGTATTTTTGTCATTTGAACCTTATTTAATGAAGATTTTTCATGGAATGACCAAAATGATTGATGATGAACAAACTTAATGACTACTTTTATTTGTTTCAAATCTCAGAGATCAAAGTAAAGAGTTATGCAAATCTCAAAGATTATTTTGACCAAAAAGCCTGTCATATACTATAGTTGCTGTACCTCAGTTATGGATGAACCACTATCTTTTCTCTTGTTTATTCTATTATCAGTATATGTCAAAAGCCTCCATTATATACCAGGCTATAACCCTAAAAACTCTAGTATTTATACCCTGCAAGCACCGTAAATCCCCTAGGAACAACCTTTATTAGCCTTACCAAATTTATGCGTTAACAGACATTATTCTGATTTATAATTGTCCCTTTGTCCTGTGTTTATATTGGTGCAACTTAGCTCTAGTTTGGTACTGAGGTGATTTTGAAAAGAATAGCTATGCTTTTTTATGTTTGGTAAACATTCAGCTTCAGTTTTTTTTCAGTGTTGGATAAAAAAAGCTGAAAACACACAGCTGCAAAACCCAGCTTTGAAAAACTAGTTTTTTTTTTCACATCTGTTTTACGTAAAAGTTTATCAAACACTATAATACTGTTTTTTTTCTTTTCAAAAGCACTTTTACAAAAAAGTTTACCAAACACTCTATTGTTTTATTTCACAACTGCTTATTCTCACAGCACAGCAGAAACAGTTGTTTTTCAAAGCATAACAATACCAAACTAGCCCTTAATATGCATATGATCAATGCATTTCCAGGAAATGTGAATGACAAATCTAACGGCATATAGGTTTTGCAAGTGGCATTTTGCAACGATGATAGAAAGATGTTGAGCTCTTGCATGATGACGTAAATTCAAATCTCATTGATGGTTAATATAATATCTAAAGTAACATAATGTATCGTTTGAAAAAAAGAGCATATAGGTTTTCAAAATAGCTCTTCATGGTTATCTCATTTTCGTATAAAGTTAACGTATTTCTATGATATGAATATAACAAGCTTGGAAATATGTTAAATTCATTCACAAGTCATGTTCTTACAAATCAACCATTAATTCTGAAAAGTTTGAGGAGAAATATAATCTCATATATTGCCCAAAAAAAAAAAGAAAATAATCTCATAATCCTTCTCAACCCATCCTTCCTTAAAACAAGCATCATTCTAAAAAATATACATACCACCATCATTCAATATTACGATCTAAACGTATTCATCATTTATCTGTGCTAATAATTTAAGAGATTTTAAAGTCGATTACTGTAGTTTTCATTCTTTTTAACTTTTTAACCTAGAAAATCTTATCCCAACCGATTCCCACGCACTCGTTGATGACACTTGTACCAAAAGTTGATGGGGGCAACCGAGTGCTAATTTAACAGACGTAAAAGACTGGTCCCCTACCCAATGTAAAAAATCTCCATAGATTCTGACTGGATCTTTTGACCAAAAGTCCCCAAATTTCACAACTGAAAAGTGAAAAACTTGTGTTGCTCTGTCTCGGTCGAGATCTCTCACTGTTTCTTCCGGAGTAGGATTCTCTTCCCTACAAATCTACTGGCTCGACCTTCTTTTCCATCCATATTTATTTTAATTTACAAATTAGCAAAATTACAAACAAAACCGAGCTGTTTGGTTTACCAAAAATCGAAGCCATTCCTCCCTCCCTCGCACGCTGACCTATATAAAATCCCAAATTCCCATTTTATTTTTTTTGTTAATTTAAAAAATTATTAATTCGTCAAGTTTCAGCTCCAAAGGTCCAAGCTTTCCTCTTCTTCTGCTTCCTCAGCCTCTGAACCCAGGTACCCTTTTGAACTTTTTCCCTCTATTTTTTTGGGTTTAATTTCTTTCAATTTTCTGTTTCTTTAATATGCTTGAATTTTGATTTGATTGCTTATTTTAATTTGTTTCGATCATGCTGTTTTTTTTTTCGTTCTTGTGGTTTCTAGGGTTTTTTTTTTCCCCTCTTTCTATTAATTTATTATTTGCTTTTTTTTATATTTTTATTTCTTATGGATACTGCTGCTTGAAGATCATTCGTAGGAACTCGTTTTATTTTTCATATGCTTTGAAAATGCATGGTGGAAGTCATTGCATCTGGAATTTATCAGAATGCAAGTTTATGTTTGTGGCAAACAAGAACATGTTCTTATTTGAGAGTATCGAAAAGTGTATATTTCAAAGCTTCAATTTTTTTAAAAAAATAAATATACATAAAGCCAGTAACACTCGAAAATTAGTTTTTCGGGTTGCCTTTAAACCGTGTTAGGATTCCTACATCCCACATTGAAGATATTGAACATGTTTAGGTTAGTATGCGAGCTTTTGGGCACCCTTTTCGTGAATGCCAGTTTTGCAAGGGTACTCTTTGTACACTTTGACTACATCCTATTGTAAAAAAGATGATTGCCGAATATTATAAAGCGTATAAATTGTGATCTTCATTCCAATTGTGTGCGTGTGTGGGAGTGTGCTCGTGCGCGTGCACGCCCATGTTTACTTCTTAGTATTCCTAAGAATTCATGTTTTGGGTACATGTCCATTGCAGGGTTGGTCGGTTGTTAAAATGAGCCGACCAAGTACGCGCAGTAAAAATAAACGAAACAGACAAGGAGATAATGTTGACAACACTTCAGAAATATTGAGGTAGAAAAGTTTGCCGTTTTATGTTAAGAAGAGTTATCGGTTGCTTGATATGCACCCTTGTTATGTGGCTTATTTATGGTTGGTATTGTGTAGGAAAATACATGCAACGGGTGAAATTACAAATGAGGATATATATACGCTATATAAAATTTCAAAGCCGGTTTGTCAAGGCTGCCGTGTGAATTCTAAAGATAACCCAAACTGCTTTTGTGGGCTAATACCACCTCCGAATGGAAGTAGGAAATCAGGCCTATGGCAGAAGACATCAGAGATTCTGCAAACTCTGGGCCCAGATCCTTCTCAGGACCTTCGTCCTTCTGCCGATTCTCCTGCAGGCCTCACAAATCTGGGTGCAACATGCTATGCTAATAGCATACTCCAATGTTTGTACATGAACAAGTCCTTCCGTGAAGGTATCTTCTTGGTTGAACCTGAGGTTTTGGAACAGCAGCCAGTGTTGAATCAGCTTTCTCGGCTTTTTGCTCAGTTGCATGCCAGTAAATTGGCTTTTATAGACTCATCTCCATTTGTAAAAACACTGGAGTTAGATAATGGAGTTCAACAGGACAGTCATGAGTTTCTGACCTTACTTCTTTCTTTGCTTGAACGTTGTCTGAGCAACTCTAAAGTTTCAAAGGCAAAATCTATTGTTCAAGATCTTTTCCGTGGAAGTGTATCACATGTTACTAGGTAGAGACTGAACCTGATTGGATTAGAATTATACTTCTTCGTATTATGGCCTTTTACTTTGTGCTGGTATTGTTTCTGAAGTCTCTCCTTATCTTTATGTTATTTCCACTTGCATGTACTTAGGTGTTCACAATGTGGAAAAGACTCTGAAGCTTCTTCAAACATGGAAGACTTCTATGAGCTGGAGTTGAATGTGAAGGGTTTGAAAAGTTTGGGTGAGAGTTTAGATGATTACCTTAGTGTTGAAGAGCTCCATGGAGAGAATCAATATTTTTGTGAGTCTTGTAAATCAAGAGTCGATGCTACTCGAAGCATCAAGTTGCGCACATTGCCTGAGGTTCTGAACTTTCAGCTTAAGCGATATGTTTTCCTTCCAAAGGTAGTTATGAGATCCTTGGTAATGCATAGTTTTCATTTTGTAGTTATAATTATCAATTGTTGAAATCGCGAATGATCACAAAAAAGTCGAGCTATATTTTATATACCACACATGCTTGATATTGATGCAGAGTAGAGGTTGTGTTCTTGTTTGTTATATGGTTTATTGTTGACGTTGTCATTGATTTGTGGTTAATAGTTATTTTATTCTTTTTAATATTTTATTCTATATTGATTTGTGTCAATAGACAACAACCAAGAAGAAAATTACTTCTGCATTTAGTTTTCCTGGAGTACTTGATATGAGGAAGAGGCTATCTGACCCTTCTCAGGGTGAATCAGTATATGACTTGTCAGCTGTGCTGATTCACAAGGGAACTGCAGTTAACAGTGGCCATTATGTAGCGCATGTCAAGGATGAGAAGACAGGGCAATGGTGGGAATTTGACGATGAGCAGGTCTCAAACTTGGGTTCTCATCCGTTTGGAGAAGGGACTTCAAATTCCAATACCAAGCCTGTTAAACCTGAACCTGTTGATCCATCTTGCATGGAACAAAAGAATACTATTTCAAATGGTGACAATGTGGATGTCATTCACCAACAACCTTCAGAATCTATTACCAGTCATGTAGAGACATTTTCATGTGCTGATGCATATATGCTGATGTATAGTCTCAATCGTTCCCGGAAGGGTGAAGAGAAAGTGCACGTGGAATGTAATGCCAACAATAGGAAGATACAAGGTGATACTGTTTGTAGTTCTCTTCCATCTCATCTTTGTGATGAGATTGAAAGCTTTAATGCATCATATCTTGATGCTTGTGAGCAATACAAATTTAAGAAAGAAGAAGAGATGAATAATATCACAGAACGAAGACAGGAAGTGCGCTCGATTTTGTCGGAAGCTCCTGTTCAACAACTTGAGGAAACCTTTTTTTGGATATCAACAGACTGGCTTCGTCAGTGGGCTGATAACATGATTTCACCGTAAGCATATGCTTGGTGTCTTTGCTTTAGTTCTTAACTTGATTTCTGCTGGAACTACAATGTCGGTTTTTGGTTCGCAATTTCTTTTTGGGCTTACATAGTAATCACTTGCAGTGCACTTGACAACACATCCATCCAATGTTCGCATGGAAAAGTTCCAGTTTCAAAGGTTGGCCACATGAAAAGGTTGTCAGTTAAAGCATGGACCAAACTGTTCTCTAAGGTATTTGTATGTGTTATTGGACTCGCTTAATGTTGTGTGAACTCTATCTGTTGTTTATAAATACTTACACCAATTTGCATCATGATGCTTATGTGATGAATCCTACTTACTGTCAACTTCATACCTTCTCGCTCCAGATTAGTACTTTGGCTCATCTTTTTCTGATTTTTCATGTGTTGGCATAATGGCATCATCAAATGTTCATTTTTTGCTTTTGCCTCTCCTTTTTTTTATTTTTTATTTTTTTTATTGGGCTTTTCTTTTCCATTTTTTAGTTTTACTTCCGATGAAATGTATTCTAGTTACTGATGATTGAATGCTGGTTCAGTATAAAGGGGGGCCAGAACTGGCCAATGATGACTACTGCATGGTTTGCCTTATTGATGGTGCTCGAAATGTAGTCTGTGCTGACAGTTATAGGGATAGAAGAATAATAATGAAGCAAGTTGCGGAGGATGCACTTGCAGCGAAGTGTTCAGGAGGAATATATTATGTTTCTAAAGCATGGTATGACTGCAAACTGTTTTGTTGCTTTTTATCCTTCCTTCAGATCTCTTCATTCTTATGCTAGAGACTTTGCTATGACTTTTTTTATTAGGGATTTTCTCATACGAACACACAATCGATGGATAAAATAACTAATTATAGTGCATTACAGAAGATAAAGCTCCTATGCTTTGTTTCAATACTTTTGTGCTTCTCATAGCTTTTGCTACATCATATTTCGTTTTCTCTAATGATTCTAATTCATTTTTATTCGTAGGTTACAACAGTGGCTTAAAAGAAAAATTCTTGATGCTCCAGCTGAAGCCGATGCTGGACCAACAGCTTCAATTAGGTGTCCTCATGGGCAACTTATGCCTGAACACGCCACTGGTGCTAAGAGATTGCTTGTTCCTGAGAATCTCTGGCTCTTCCTTTATGAAGATGCTTTAACAGTGAAGCCTGATGATCATTTGGGTTGTTTTCCATTTCCTTCTGACTCTGCACAGTGTTCCCAATGCAGTGATGAACTATCTGAAGTTGCATGTATGGAGGATTCTTTAAGGTAATTTAAACTTTTACTTGTAGCAGAGAGCTGTTAAGCATGTGTAATTGCTTTGACCGGTATTTTTGCTGCAGATTGGTGAGGCTCAAACAGCGCCAGACTCATGAGAAACTACTTACGGGAAAAAGTGTGCCACTTTCGCTGCATTGCAAGTATTACTTGATACCCAATTCGTGGCTTTCAAAGTGGAAAAACTACATTACTGCAAATGGAAAGAATATTTCCTCAGTGGAGAAACCTGAAACATTAGAGGGCATCATGGATTTGCTAAAGTGCGAAAAGGTAACTTAGAAGGTTTCTAGATGTGCTTCTATTGAAATCCGGCACCTCTAGTAGACTGTAATTTTTTGTTTGCATGCTTTTGACCTTAATCATGTTCATCAGTCTCATAAATGCAGTCTTTATGTAATTGAAAGCTGAATGCATATTTAATTTACTTTGGGCTGGACAACACTTACTATTGGTTCAAATTCAATAAGCTGAGTTAACGCGGCATCAAGTTATGTACTAATTACTGGAACTAGAAATTGTGTAGTGCATTTAAGAACTATTCTGGTTCTTCTCTTCTCTAAAAATAAAACTATCCTGGTCCATGCAGTTCAGTCTGCCTTATTTTTCTTCACTTATTAGTGTGATGCAATTATTCTAACCTCCCTGATGCTTTGTTTCAGCATTCACAACTTCTAGAAAGGCCTGTTGATCTGGTCCAGAAACGTGGTCTGATTTCCCAGAAGTCTCCTGTAAGCATATGAATAAATGCGAGTTAGTGTATATTTGTTGATTGAACTTGTTGGTCCTTTTTGTCTTTCCATTTTGTCTCTTTTTTTTATCTCCTTCTCATTTGTAAAATTATTGTTTCTTATAAAAGAAACCTTTTCTGGTTCTTTTAATTTTCATGGGATTGTGCGGATCAAATTTGTACTTGTGAGAATGCTCTAATGTGGGAACTCTTGCTTCTTTTCCCTCTCTTTGTGGATTATAGGTGGATGGGTTAATACTCATTACTGAGAATGACTGGAAGTCCTTCTGTGAGGAATGGGGTGGTATTGAAGAGAAAGGAATATCTGCTGAAATAGAGTTAAGTAGTACTGAAGAAAATAATTTGGCAGGGTCTTGCGAAGAGATGCCAATGGGCGAGGAGGACCTCAGTACTCCAAATCACGTAAATGGTGAAGTTGAGTCTCGACGACTTGTGATTAAGACTTGTCCTGAGGTAAAGGCTTACCATTTTAAGTTGTGTTTTCTTGCCATGCATAGTGGAGGACACTTGTTATATATCATGTTTCTCTTGCTACGTTTTAAATTTAAGAATGTCTTATGCTAGAGTAGATGCTCCAATATCTGGAACCTTTCGGTTGCGTAGTCTTCTGGCAGATCATTAGTGACTCCAGTTAACTTGTATAAAACATCAATAAGTGGCAGCAACATCGATTTTGCACAAAAATTGTATAAATTTTGAGTCATATATTTAGAATTTATAGTTACGAGAAGCAGTTTTAAAGTTGTTCGTCTGATTAGGTGCCTCAATTTTCCTAGATATGTGAGGACTGCATTGGAGAAAGAGAAAGCAGGGAATTAATGCGGAAGCTTGATTATTGCAACGAGGACATATATGTATACTTTGTACATGGCAAGGAAGCTCCAAAGTCGATTCTAAAACCATCTGATACAAATTTCGATCCAGATCGCCGAGTTTCCAAGCGCTCTCGGAGGACAAAAACTGGGGATCAAATAAGCTTAAAAGTCTCTGGTTCCACAACCATATACCAGTTGAAAATGATGATATGGGAATCTTTTGGGGTATGCTTCTTGAAGCTAACACGTAGATGCGAGTGTACTCACCAATGCATGGGTTAATCATTTGTCCAAATTGTTTTTTTTCCTGTGGCATCTGATTACTGTTTTAAATTATGCAGATTGTTAAGGAAAACCAGGGACTTCACAAAGGTACTCGGATAATTGAGGACGAATCTGCTACTCTTGCGGACATGAATATCTTCCCTGGTGATAGACTTTGGGTGAATGATTCAGAAATCCATGAGAACCGAGATATTGCTGGTAATTTTATGCTGTTATTTCTTCGCATTTTCTTTGTAATATAATGCTTAAAGTCATAGGAAGTGTTTGTAGTTGATGTGATTGAAAACTTTTACTGCATTGGTTAACTTCAATAACCTTAAACATGCATTTTGACAATTGTTCCACAGATGAGCTATCTGACCAGAAAATGGATGCGCAACACACTGAAGAGGGGTTTCGCGGGACGCTGTTGACAACAAATGTTTCGTCCCAAGTTGTTTAGAGGCATGCCTTTTGCTGGTTAATATTTGAATGTAGTACCCATGTTTTTGTAGATATTGATATATGGGAGGTGACTTGAAGTTTTCTCGGCGTTTTGATGACCTGCATTGTTGAGGTTAGTTGCGAAAATGCATGAATGTTCCCTTGTGATTTGCTGGATTTTTTGAGACAGCAGTTTTGATTATTGACCGTTCTTGCTCCTTTGGCAGCAGCAGTTGTCCAGTGCATGTATAATTCAGGTCACCCATCCCTTGCCTGTGGAGACAGATTACAGTACGCTGCCATTGCTCGCTGACACATGAGAAAAGGAAATGTGATATGCGCTGTTTCCTGGTCGGAATGTTTTGGGCTAACCACTGCGGTGGTAATTTTCTGTTGATATAGATGTTACCGCGACTTTTATGTGTCGAACAATGCTGATTACAATGGTGTATATTGTCGAATGTGCATGTCTTTTTCGGGTGTGTGGGGTGACGTTTTATCTCATAGCTAATAGCTTCCGCCGGTGGTCACTGTACAAGTAAGTTTTATAAAGTATATTATTTTAAGAGTTTCATGTGTTAGTTCCTCTGTTTCAGTTTCTGGGTTCATTCCTATCATGAATTTTGTGTTCGTATTCTCGGATTGGAGGTGCAAGAAAATGAATTGAAATTATGTTTGTATAAATTTTCCAATAAATAAATCCAAAAGATGTGTTAATAAAACGGAAATTGGTTAATCAAATTCCTGTTGCTAAATTGATCAGAATTTTATATCGATGATATGCATACTAAAAACTGATCATTTCATCGATTCGAGATTTTAAAAGGCATTAGTCGCATAGCAGGGCAGAGAACTAGCGCCTAAGCTTCTAGGTGAGGCCTAGGCAAGGGCTTGGCATCTAGGAGAGGGCTTAGGCCCCTTTTTTAAAAAATTAAATTTATTATATAACATATACATCAATGTCTATGTATATTTAAAATAAATACATAATTGTATCAAGATACATAAGTTACAAAATTGAATAACATATACATTATAAAATATTAGAATATATTGAAAACATAAGAAACAAGCATATAATAATTGTTCACTCAAAAGATTCAACAAGTCTCTTATAATTTATTAAAAAAATAAAATGTAAAATACAAGTTATTTATTTTCTGTCTAAATGAGAGTTGTGATTTTTAGAACAGTGCATCGTCTAGAATTTGAAAAATGATTATATGACATAGGGCACATCTCCCATGAGTTTTGCGGAAATTTCACATGTTTGCTTGCCTGTATGCCAATGCATTATTCTTCTTCCTCCCCGTGACTTATTCAAAGAAAATGCAGGAAATGAAACCTCCTCTGTTTTTGCTCTGCCTCATAATATGCATACAAAAAAGGAAGGGAAAACATTGAAGATGGAAAAAGTTTATCAATTTTAGATCCAGCGGCTGTGGTTTCTGGAGTTGTTGGCTCCCCGGAACCACCTATCCCACCCTACTTCACCTGGTCCTTTAGTCCTGTGTACACGAATTAGATCACCCGTTGAAAACGGACTTAGGGTGTAGGGTGAATGTTCTTAACTAACTGAGCTACAACGATATTAAAAAAAAGGGCTGGAAATTGGAATTATGTCTTACCATGGAAGCAATGGATCAGATGTTGACTCAACGCTTGCAATGAGGCTGTATAAGATCAATATTACCAAAAAAAGAAAGAAAGATGAGGGGTTGGAGCCGTTGGATTGAAATGTGAACAAAAAAATATGAACAGCTGGGATTTGATTTGCTTACTCTATGCAGACAATGGAGGATTCACCTATTGTCTCAAGTTCGTCCAGCTCTTTCTGCATATGAATCACACAACCTTTTTCAGTTTTCATAAATTCTTCTTGTGCGCCAATATGAGTTAGGCCAGTTAACTAAGACAATATGTCCGCTCCCACATCCAAGTCAAAATTCCGCTCTAAAGATTAGACTAGTTTAGAATATTGTATTGTAAAAGAAAAATGATGGAGATAATTGTGAGAGAAAAAGATGGACCTGGATGATGTCGATTTGGTTTTGGAGATGGGAAATGGAAGCTGCGAGCTTATGCTTGCCAATGAAAGTGGGAAATTGGGCAACTCTTGCTTTGTCTTCGAAACAAACTGGCAGAGCCATTCCTCCTCCTCCTCCTCCTCCATCTTCTCTTGCTCTTGCCGGAGAAGATGATGGGTTTGCTTCTTCTACTTGCTTATCCATTCACAAATTCCAACCAAATCTCTCTGTCTTTACACCTAGAACTAATGATATTGTTGAGAGAGAGAGAGAGAGAGAGAGAGAGAGAGAATGGGGACCTATGTTTTGTTCATGATTAAAAAGCACTGAGGAGTGGACATGGAATTAAAAACAAAAAATAAATAAAAAGCAATTAGATTATAAAAAGTCATGAATTTATTTAGGGATATATAGAAAGGGGGATGTGGTGTGAATGATCATGTTATATAACTTATTTATTTAAGTTAATAATTGATTTTTGGCGCTGATGAATCGCACGATAGTGGCTCAAGAGACGCTGAAACACCTCTGTAAATCTCTCTATCTCCAAAAGAGTGGACTGCCATGACGAATAAACCATGAATTATGAGCAGAGCAGTAGACAGGGCAACATGCCAACAACTAGACCACATATTTCCCTTCATCCATCCATCCTCAAATCAATTAATTTATACATAGTTTTAGAGAAAAACTTGTGTGGGACTCTCATACCACATGATTCGGAAAATATCTTTCACAGAACATAAAAAAATAATCTCTTTTTCTAGTACCATCCAGCGTTAACTAATCAAAATAAGACAATCCTAGCGAAATTTCCGTCGTTTTGAATAAGTGTGGTAAAGAATAAGGGATGAATGAGTCATATACCAAAGGTAGCAACAAGTCTAGTTTGACAGTTGACATATCTGCTTAGCTCAGACCCATTCAAACTGTGATGGTTTTTTCAACAATTTCTATCAGCAATAAGTTCGAAAGTTTTAAGTATTTTCCCCCCCCTTAAGTGCTATGAAGGTTGTGACATTCTTTGGTTTGAAAAGCCTCCACATTTTATTGTTCATTTACTTTCAGCTGAACGTAATTGAAAGGGCTTCTTCGCCTTCTTTCTCGTTTTGTAACCGTTCTCTTTTATAAAATCTATTTATCGTTGCTTTTAAAAAAAAAAAAAAATTAAACGGAGGGATTTCTTGTAATGAAAGAAAAATACGGCTCTTGGAATTCTTTTTTTAATATTTGCTTTTGGATTTTGTATTTTGACGTTTTGGATTTTCAGTTTGGGATGTGCACTTTTGAAGTATAGGTGTTCGTTCTTCGTATTTTAGAGTTTCAAGTTTTGATTTTAAACATTTTCAAGTTTGAAGTATGAATTTTGGCATATAAAATTTCAAAGGCCAACATTCCTACTTGAAATTCCAAAATGTTTACCAAAGAAAATTTTCAAATTGACAACTTGAAAACGCCTAAAGCTAAATTTCAAACTCAAAACTGAAATCCCAAAATGCTCGAGAGAATTTTATGAGGGGTTTTTATCACAAATGGTCCCTAAAATCTTGTGAAGCTCATTTATGTGTCACATCAGCACTTAATGAGATTTTTAACAGAATTGTGACGGAATGACCATATTGATTTGCGTCGCCTATTTTCAGGGACTACATTGATTGATTTTCAATTTCAGAGACCATCATGATGGTGAGGGTAAATTTCAGAGACCATTTGTGATAAAAACCTTTTTATGAAACAATTTCAAAGCCACATTGACTTTCCGGACTATTAGTACAAAGCCAATGTAAGAATTTCTTAACATAGTCTTATATTAGTTGTTAAGAACGGCAGTATAACTATGAACTGATTCTATCTAAGGTCATTCTCCAAATAGCACGCTTCAAAACACCCAAGTCCTACCTAAATATCTCGAATACTAGAAATTCCAGAAAACCGACCAAACCAAACCAGAGACTAACCAAAGTCCAAAGTCCTACTCAAAGAATGAGGATCCTTTCCGGATCCTTTTTGTGAGGATCTCGAAAATCTGTGAATCATGTATGTTTTTCGTACATCGTACGTCGTGTGATCATAAATCATTTTAATATTTTCATTTAAAATTAAATACAAACAACACTTGAAGAAAACTAATTACACAATATATGATAAACATACACGATTTACGAATTTCTGGATTCCTCATCAAGAATCCGGAGAGGATCCGGACTCCTACTCAAAATCCCACACCCAAAAGCCGAAAGCCTACAAAAATGCAAACTCCAACGGTCCAACCCTGAAAATTGTTCTAATTGGGGTTTTAGGAATTTGGATTTGGGCCAATCCAGTGTAATCCCAATCCCACCTTAGGGTTAGAAGATTTAAAATTAAAACGACATCAATGTGAATGTGGGTACAATTTTTTTTGAACAAAGAAATGGCAATAGCATCAACAATATCGTCATCAACGTCAAAGCTCTTCTCTTTTTCCTCGGTATCACTCCGCCTGAGAAGCCTCACAACCACCGCGCGCAGCTCCAGAAGCAACTGCAGCGCCGCCAAGAAGAAGAAGGAGAAGCAGGAACTGAGGCAGATAGTGGTGCTAAAGGAAAAGAGGAGAACGCGTTCCGACAGAGAATTCCAGTTGGAAACAATCAAGCGCTATGGAGGCACCGCCACCCACATTCCCGTCATGCTCGGCGAGGTTCTGGACGTTTTCCCCGCGTCCAAACAGCTCCGGTACTTCGTCGACTGCACTGTCGGAGCTGCTGGGCATTCCTCTGCGGTTAGTAATCACTCTTCTATCTTTCCTTCTACAGAAAGCACTTGTGGTTATAATCGCTTCTGCTTCTGCTTCTGATAGAAGTGATAATATAAACAAGTTGAATTTTGTATTAAACGTCTAATCCAATCCAAGTTATGCAAGAAGCACTTGGGAGTGCTTCGTGAAGAAGTGCTTCTTGAAAAAGCGCTTCATGGAGCTCGCAGCACTACTAAGTTTGTTTGCCAAATGCACTTTAAACTTTTTGGTTGCCCTACAAGAAGCAATGCTGAACAGACCCTTAATTTGATGTAATTACGAGTTGGGTTTTGGCTTAATTGTTTGATTACTAGCAGATAATTGAAGGGCATCCGGAAATGGAAGTTTATGTTGGGCTTGATGTTGATCCTACGGCGCTTGAGAAGGCTCGAGCTCGGATCCACTCTGTTTTGCATGACCCGACTAGTTCGAGCCTCAAAGCTTACACCTTTTTGGAGAACTTCAGATATGTGAAGTCTCTGCTTTGTGATGTGGACGAGACACTGGTTGAAACTGGAATTGATGGGATGTTGATGGATTTGGGAATGTCGTCGATGCAAGTGAATGATCCACAAAGAGGGTTCAGTGTGCTTGCTAATGGACCTCTTGATATGAGGATGGATCCTCAGGTAAGAATTGTTATGGCAATTTTGTATCCAATTTAGTTGAATGAGATAAAGACTAGGAAAAAGTTATTTGCTTTTTTACGTTCCAAGTATATATGTAAGAAACTTAAGAGCGCATTTGTGGTTTTGAGTTTTTTAGCGGGTGGAGTGTTGTTATGAACTGTGGGCGATCTTATTGAGTCAATTGGTTTCTTGCAATTTTCATGGTAATGGTTAAACATTTTTATCTGAAGACTCATCGGGGAGGCTCTGATGCCATTTTATTTGTACATGTGTTCCCAAGTCCAAAGACCAGTTTGAGGGTGTTCATGTGAGTGATAGCTCAAATAGGATGCCTATAATAATGCCCCTTTTATCATGCGTAAGAATGGTGTACTAATGGGTAGGTTACAGTTACACCACATGTGTGCATATGTGGAAAATTGGTGTCGTGGCCATTTTACATATACGTGCTTCCAGCAGTGTGGGGATCGTGTAGCTCATGTAGGGATGTAAAGATCTGTATCACCCAATTATGATCCCCTCATCATATGCACTCATGATTGTAACTAAGCTCAGTTATCTTTTTCCTTTTCCAAACTAATGTTCTCTGCCGGTACTGACTTTGATTCATTGAAGTCCGAGGTGATAGTTTATAGGGTGAAGGAAAACTTTCTAAGAAAAATGATATGCATGATTACTATGATTTACTGACTGCATCATCATTGTAAATGTTTGTTTCATTTAATTGATTGGAGTAGGGCTTTGACAGGCAAGTCTGAAAGCCGAAGACATTTTGAACTCTTGGCCAGATAATGAGGTAGGGCGCATTCTGCGGGACTATGGGGAAGAAAGTAACTGGTACTCTCTTCAAAATAGAATTGTTAGAGCCCGTTCACAGGGTGGATTGCATACCACTGGTGATTTAGTAGATCTTATAAAGAGTGCAACTCCGCTGAGTCGAGGTAGGCATCCTATGTTCTCTATTGTTCTTGTACTTTGACCTTGCATAGTATATTTCTATCAGAACCATAGTTCCATTGATTGTTGTATTAATGGATATGCAAAAATGCTTTAATTACTAAGGTTGAATTCAACTGCAACAGAAGGACGGCAAGGTTGGATTAAGACAGCTACAAGGGTGTTTCAAGCTCTGAGAATAGCTGTGAACGATGAACTGAAGACTCTCGAGGATTCTCTTTATGCTTCTTTTGACTGCCTTGCACCTGGTGGCAGGTTGGCAGTCATCTCTTTTCATAGTTTGGAGGACAGAATTGTGAAACAAACATTTCTGGACATCATCAACGTCAAAGACAGAGATGGTGACGTTGACATGAATGAAGAAGAACCACGGAAGAAAGATTTGAGAAAGATCATGAGTGACATTGATGAGAACGAAGCATGGATCAAACAAACGGTACAAGGCTTAAGAGGCATAATTCTCACTAAGAGACCAATTACACCGTCTGAAGCGGAAGAGAGCCTGAACAGCCGGGCTAGAAGTGCCAAGCTCAGGGTGCTTCAGAAGCTTTAATCCTTTGATAACTGCTGGAGATTAGATTAGACGTGTACAAGTGTTTCCCCATATGTATCGGCGTCATTGGTGTTTTTCCATGTTTTGATTCACGTTTTATTTAAGTTGAAGCTTAGAGTTGACATACAAATTACAATTGTTGCCGTTAGGAAATGTAACATTCCACAAATATGATATATCTGAAGGCCTTGATCGTTCATTTGATTTGTTGCATTTGAATCTCCGGCCACACGAAGTCTCCTCGTGGTGATTTACATAATTTCTCAGAGAAGTTTCCTTTTCGGGGAGTTAGCTAGGCGCTTCCTGGTTAACGGATTCTCGATATTTGATCTAGTAACATTCAATCTCCATTCGAGGAGATTTCCTTAGTTTAAATTTCATGAACGTTAGTTTAATGTCTCGTTGAATTAAGGAAAATAAAAATGGGAGTTCTCATCGTGTTAATTAAGCAAATGGTGAAGAAATAGCATCCATATCCATTGACTTTCTAAATTATTTTAACCTATAAAAAGGGAGATTCGAACTCGGGTGCAAGAGAGCAAGCGTATTTTTTTAGTTAACTGACCTAACACCGGTATTCATACATTGATATATTTGACGAGAAGATTGCAAAATGGTGAATAATATGTGAGAGTGTGAAGACAAAATCCCACATCAATGAGGGACCAAATCCTGCAAGCCGCCTAGCACCTAGGGAATAATCAAGGTGGTGGCGAGCCTGCCTAGCGCTTAGGCAGAGCTAGTCGGAGATTTTCAGAACAATGCTTAGAAGAAGTTAAGCTACTCTTATATTGTCAATTAATTTTACGGTAGAACTCCAACTTTTTTCATAACCAAAATTGTAAAGTTCTGTAGCGTATGCATTATCTTGTGCTGACTTGTCAATGGCTTTCCTTTTCATCATCCTACTCCTACTGCTCCCACCTTATCTGAAATCTGAACGGCCTTATGCACTCCAGTGGCATTTCCGTAATTTTCAACACGACACAAAAGTGCACTGCATAGCTCTTCCTTCTTCCAGCTGACAACAAACTGGCGAACTTTCTCCATTTTTTCTCGTCAGCCAAACAGAAATTAAAATAATAATAATTTTGCTATAGTTTCTTTTATTTTTCTGAATATATGATGACACAAACAATCAAGTGGCATGAAGGAGTAGTGCATGGCTGTGCCTCATTCCCATCCTCTGCTATTCCAATCTTCAACACCAGGTTCTTATGCTCTTCAATTTTTCCCTTTTCTAATTCTAGCGATAATCTGCACTTAATTAATTTAAGCTACGGCGATTGAGATCCGAACTTTGGTAAAAAGACGGAGAGCGCATGTTGTTGTAGCCAACTTGGCTGAGTCAACGTCCGCTATTTCTTTCAATCATTAGTTTTGATACAAGTGATATCGGGGAGGGAAATTCGAACCCAAAATCCCGAATGCGGGGTAAATGCTCTTAACCGCTTTGAGCTGCAAGCTCCTTGCATTTTTTTGTATGAAAGTAACCAGGAAGTGTAGGAAGTATAGTATTTGTTTATAATTTGTGAAAAATGTTAATTTTGTTGCAGGAAGAAAATTGAGGTGATAAAGGTAACTTCAAAAGCAACGAAGTTTATAAGTTCAGAGTCAAATGGAAATAAAGTAGCAAATTTGTGTGCTGCGAAGACGGAAAGAATTAAGCTGCCAAATTACGATGTCGGAAGCAAGAGTTTCCACATCGGTGAGTTTTTGAGCCACCAATCAGGAATTGAAGCCATGCTCAACACCAGAGCCTTGGAAAGTTTTCAATCCCTTGATGCTGATATTTACAGGTCAGCGTTCTCTTCCTTTCGCTTGTTTAGGACCCGTTTGATAACCATATCATTTTTAGTTTCTAGTTTTCGCACGCTTGACTTCTTCCATATGCATTAATTTTTGTTTTCAAGGAGCCTTTATTTGTTGTGTTCACTTGAAACTTGGACGAAATGTTTTCTTTTGCTTGTTTCAAATTGATTAAACTGTAATTTTGGACTTGATTGCGACTCGCGGTTAACTATGGAGGGCTTGGCTTGGAGAATTGAAACTACATGGACGAAGTTGAAATTGAAGTGAAACTACGCGAGCCAAGTTTCCGTTTCATAAAATGTCCGGTTATTTGTGCAGGTGCACTCTGCCAAAACTTAAGCTTTTGAATTATGAAGCTGCTCCAGTTCTGGACTTGAGAGTAACCCCAAGAAATGAAGATTGTATAGTTGAGATGCTTTCGTGCAGGGTAAGTTTCATTTCATCCGTTTGATGCCTTGTTGCAGAAGCTCTTTCGAAGAACTAATTTTTGTATTCAGATATTTACTGAAGTATTTACTGATTATGGTTTGCAGTTTGAGGGTTCAGAAGCTGTGGAACGCCAAAACAGCCATTTTTCAGGTGAATAATAATTCGGTGAGAATCTCGTAACTTCTGGAGGACTAAGATTTTAGTCCATGGGAATAGAAAATTTTACAAGAAAACTGTTAGCTTCTCAGCATAAGATTTTCTTTTAATCTGTGGTTTCTTTGTACAGCATTCATGACTAATCACATGTCGTGGGACACGAACAACTCTGAATCGTTTTTGGAGGTTGACGTGAAGTTGCAACTCACACTTGAGGTTGTTAATTTTCCCTCTGATTTTTTTTTCTTTTCGCTCAATAGCTGATGGTTAAAAACATCATGATGTTTTTTGTGCAGATATATACACGCCCTTTTAATATGATGCCGGTATCAGCTGTTGAGCGTCCTGGAAATCTGTAAGCACTTCATTAAATAAACTTCATTCAGATACATAAGGCCCTGTGGCTCAGTTGAGCTTTCCGGAAGAGACATTTTGATGGTTCCTTGGTTAGCACTTAGGGTTCTTCGTGCCATTTTGTTTCAAATGAGAATTTCCTTGTCCCAACCCACAAGCCTCAACTCAAATAGCATGGCATATGCGACTTGTGTGGTGAGGGTAGAGATTCTAGGTTCAGACACCGATGTAATAACCGAAAATAGAGAAAATACTTGCAGATTCGGTATTCCTATGTTGAGAATGCATCTTTGTTGCCAGCCCCTCCATTTAAACTGTGGAAGTGTGATGACAATGCAGAATGATGCAAGCGTTGGTGGATCGGCTGGTGCCATTGCTTCTGCAGCAACTACTACAAGATTATGGAAAATGGATTGATGAACAGTTACAGGATGCCTCATAAAGTGGTCCATTCATGCATAGAGAGGTAGATTTTCTATCCCTCTGACCATTTTTCGTGTCCGAAATTATATTAAAAATCACAACTGATAATGCAGCCTTATCTCTGCTTGACAGTTCGTACTCCCCTTTTTTCAGTAGGTGACCTTGCCATCTAATTTAAGGCCGATTGTAACCAGCGAGGGCACATGTTTGCAGATTGCGCAACCTGGGCACATTGTTCAGCAAACCCTCCAAGGGATTACAAGATAAATCAAGATATCTCAAATGTATCAGTTCCCCGAGGGATTCCAGGGATCTGTACATGACCATATTTCAACTGTGTTTTGAAAAGAAAGATGAAACGACAATTTCGCTCGTGTAGTTATACTTTGAACTCAATTTCATTCATCTAGTTTGAATTGCTCGAATCAAGTCCCTATCAATTTGAAGCCAAATTACTTATTCGAGTGCATCATAAAGAAAAGGGAAGTGAAGGGAAGAATAATGCCCTGCCCTTCTTCCTTGGAAATGGACGACTGCCAGAGCCTAACAACGGTCCCAAGCTTACTGGGAAGAAGGAAGGAGGGTGGAAGGAAGAGTACATTTTGTGCATACAAAAGTCAAAACTCCTATTCTTCGGACCATTTTCATGTCTGAAATTATGTTTAGATGCCCGGTGCTGGACTTGAGAGTAACCTACACAAGCTCCTTCACGAAATTTTCGCGAAGGTCTAACTATCGGATGGTGATCGTATAAAATACGTGTAAGTATTGTAGCCAATTCCGAATATAGTTGGCTTGTATTTCGTTGACACCTTAATATTTGCATCAAATCCGTAATAATTATGGACTTAATGGTGACCCATCCCTACAAGTGAAGATTGTACGGTTGACATGCTCAAGGTTTTATCAATTATGCATATGATGCTTGTTACAAAAGAAACAGTAAAGGATCAAGCGAGGCTAGCTTTTCGTCAACGGTCACAAAGGTTACAGAAGAAAGTCGAAGGATTACAATTTACGAACGAAAACAATGAGAGATATATTAAAGAAGAAAAATGCACTTGCACTTGTGGCAAAACCTGTGCAAATCCATGGCATCCAGATGCAAATAAGGCCAACAACACCAGATTTCATTTTCTTACAAACAACAGACTCCAAGTGTTCCGTGCATGCTGCTGTAACGAGGCAAGTATAAAGACTTGCGAAAATATCAAAATAAAATCACACCATTCGATCTTGATGGCCAACAAAAATGCTAAAACATTACCGCATAACATAAACTGCGTTACTAAACCATACTACAAATAAGTTGCACGATCTTCATACAGATCCAACCAAAACATTACAACTCAAAGTGCGATACAATAACTTATCGAGCTAATATTCCATCTCCATTTAGCTCCCAGTAGTCAATGACTCCATTGTCTTAGCAAGCACCGACAGGCCTTGGCACGATAAAACCTGCAACATAAACTAATGTCAGGATTAGAACCACCAATATTAGAAACGTATATTGGTAACGTTAAACACTTGATTTGGAAAACCATGGGTAGGAGACGAGTTGCAAAGAGCCAAAACTGACTTGATAGAAATACCATGTGGACACTACGAGGGTGCCGCTGCCATAATATATAAAGGCACACTTTCTTGCAGATAAAGTTATAAGCCAGTACGTTTGAACAGAGGTTTACTACTCTCATTACAGGATTCTCTGCCTTGCAAAAAGGAAGCCAGCGTACAACACAGCTATTAAAACAGTATAAACGTGGAGATAAAAGCATGGCAATCTATGCACAGTAGGTTTTCCAGTAAAAAAACATATGGTTTTCCAGATTTCGCAGAGAATGACAGCTAAATGTACTCCTGCTGCCACAATATCAGTGAATGTAAAGTTCAATAGAGGATGGTATATAACTTACCACCATATCAGTCTCGATGCCTGGAACGACCATCATTATGTTTGTCACTTCCATATCTCCTTCTCTCGCTTGATCTAGAATCATCATATCTTGCTCTCTTGTAATCAAGGTGTCTATCCCTTTCAGTCTCCTTACTTCCTCTTTCTTCTACTTTTCCAGGCCTTCTATTCCCACGCTCCTCTTCAACATCCTCTCCATTCCTCCTGTCAATTGATCTAGAATCATCATACTTCGCTCTCCTGTAATCCATGTCTCTATCCACATCCTTATTTCCCCGTTCTTCCTCCATTTTTCCAGGTTTTCTATTTCCAAGCTCCTCTTTGTTATCCTCCACCTTTCTGTACTCATTTTCCTCTTCATCTCTTCCATGCTTCCTTCCCTTGTACTCTTCATCCTTGTCATGCCTTCCACGCCCTCCACGATCCTCTTCATCTCTTCCATTGCGTTTTTCACTTTCGCGCCTCCTCTCAATTGATCGAGAATCATCATATTTTGCTCTCTTGTAATCCATGTCTCTATCCATATTCTTATTTTCCCGTTCTTCCTCCATTTTTCTAGGTTTTCTATTTCCAAGCTCCTCTTTGTTATCCTCCACCTTTCTGTACTCAGTTTCCTCTTCATTTATCCCATGCTTCCTTCGCTTGTATTCTTCATCCTTGTTGTGCCTTCCACGCCCTCCATGATCCTCTTCGTCTCTTCCATGCTTCCTTCCCCTGTGCTCTTCATCCTTGCTGTGCCTTCCATGCCCTACATCATCCTCTTCATACCTTCCATACTTTCTCGCTCTGTGTTCCTGATCATCCTTGGTGTAGGTTTTAACTCCTCTCTCTCCATAATCCTGATTAACTCTTGTACTACCCCCTTCTGGTTCAACATCTTTGCTGTAAATTTTGTCCTCGCGCCCTCCTGTAGGTCTTTCCAATCCTGAATACTTCTGATCATCCCTGTTTGGACGATACCTGTCATCATCAATTTGACGACTTATTTCATAACCTTCAACTGCATTAGATCTTAAACCCTTCTCTTCAGAATCAGAATCTTCATCTGAATCATGCCTCCTACGAGATTGTTTGGATTTCTCTACTTCCTTTCTGGATCTGTCCTTGGCACCATCATCACTACTAGCAGAATCAGAATCATCAGTCTCATACCTTCTACTTTTAATATGCTTCTTTTCAACCTTCTGTTTTTGGCCAACATCAGCTTCAGAATCATCTTCATCTGAGTCATGCCTCCTCTGAGGTTTTTTAAATATCTCAACTTGCTTCCTTGAACTGTCCCTCCTAGCATCATCATCGCTGGTAGCAGAATCAGAATCATCCTTTCTGCTCCTAGTATGTTTCTTAACAACCTTCTGCTTCCTGCCAACATCAGCTTCAGAATCATCTGAATCTGAATCGTGCCTCCTTTGAGGTTTTTTGAATTTCTCAACTTTCTTTCTTGCACCGCCGCTCCTGGCATCATCGTCACTTGAAGCAGAATCAGAATCATCAGTGCCATCCCTTCTGCTCCTACTATGTTTCTTAACAACCTTCTGCCTCTTTCCAACATCAGCTTCATCTAAATCTTGCCTCCTTTGAGGCTTTTTGAAATTTTCAACTTTCTTTCGTGCACCGTTCCTCCTAGCATCATCATCACTTGAAGCAGAATCAGAATCATCAGAGTTCTTACTTCTTCTCTTCTCATGCTTCTTTGCAACCTTGTGCTTCTTGTCAAGTTCAACTTCAGAATCATCTTCGTCACTGCTGCTACTTCCACGACTCTTCTTTTTATCAGCCTTGGGAGGAGGACCACCACTGCTTTCGGTATCGGAAGAATCATACTTATGCCTTCTCTTCCTGCTTTCCTCCTTCTTGTTCCGCCTAGATTCTTTAACACTCTTTTTCTTATCATCCTTTTCAGATTTCTGCTTTTCCTCGGCATGCTTGTTCCGCACGTAGTCCCTGTCCAAAAATGCATGCTCACTTCTCTCTTGAAACTTGCCATCATCTTCTGGACCTTTCTTTCGACTACTTATCTGTCCATCTTCGATCTCATCAGTATTCTTGTCAGCTGATTCGGGCGCAGCTAGCCCGAGAGCAGCTCTTAATGTTTCCATTTGCTTCTCCTTCCTAGCAGCAATTTGGTGGGTCTGTGTATCTGAAACCCTATTTAAGTAACAAAATACAAAATTGATCAATATTCTTCGAGTTAATCAACTTTTAATCACACTGTTACTTAACAAAGCCGCATTCGCATCCAAATGACACTAATCAGAAATATAAGATAATTACGTTAATCAATATTTTAACCAATAAAAGGAGATAGCAAACTTACTTCTTATCGGAAACCACAACGGCGCCTGGTCCGCCACCCTCCTCCGAAGCTACGGCGGCGGCTTCGAGAGTCTTCCGAGCCTCATCGAGCTTCTCGGCGATCTCAGCATCGGTGAAACCCTGATCGATGAGCTTATCTTCTAGGACGACGAGCTTGAGTTCAATCTGGCGCTTTCGATCGTGCTCGAGGATGTCTCTGTTGGGCTTCTTGGTGACGCCGCCGGTGCCCTGGTCGTCGTCAAATCCACGGGAGGAGTCGGCGACCTTCCCGGTCCTCGATTTGATGAAGAACTTGTTGGTCTGGATGTAGCCATTGGTCCCCGACCCCCTCGGAGTCTGTAACCCTATTCCGTTGTACATCTCGCCCCCTTTCGAAACCCTAGATCCGAAAATTAACGGATCTAAATCGAGCAGAAACAAAAACAGAAGAGGAAGAAGGTGTTTCCTGAAGGAAGAATTGCGAGCGATTGTTTTTGGGGGGAAACAAACTGAAATCTGGATTGGTGTCCGCCCTCGCTCTCTTGTTCTGTCTTCGTGTAACGGAGCGGAGGAGAAGGTAATTATGTAGGGGAAAGACACATAATGGACCGGTTCAATCATTGCACTACAATGTTAAACCCGGTCTAATAAACTTCTAATGTCCTCCATTTCTAATTCATTAACCCGCAAGCTCATGGTATTTTTTTTTTTTTTTAACAAACGATATTTTTTATATTAAGAAATAAGGAGTGAGTTTAGCATCACAATGAGTTAACAATAATGTGACAATTTTCCTTTTTACATGTTATTTTTTTAATTGTAATTTATTATTTATATTTTTATTTTAAAAAACTATAAGCAAAAAAAGTTGTCCAATAGTTTTATTTTGTTATTTGACTTTTTTTTTAAAATTAAGCTTGTACATGCCACACACAAAGTGTGTGTGTGTGAAGTCTTTTACTTTTGTTTAAAACTGAAGGAGAGATGAATATGGTGGGTGAGAACGGGGGGTGGGGAGAGAGAGGTTTATTTTTTAAGAAACTTTTATGAAAAAGGTTTGGGCTAAATTTATTTTAAAAAAAACCAAGCTATAACATTATATAATGAAAAACAACTAAATTTTAATAAAAATGACGCAATTTTAATATATAAAAAAATTAGAAAAAAAGACCTTACATGTGCGACCATGCGTCAATCATAGACATTATTTATGAAACTGAATACTATTTATGAAACTTAATGATACTCCAATATTTATTGGTCAAGTTTTATAAATAGGTCTAGTTCTTGGTCCACTTTCATAAATATTGTCTAGCTATTGGTTATGTGTTTATAAATAGTGTCTAGTTATTATGTCTAGTTTCATAAATAGCGTATAGACAATTGGTACAGTTTCATAAATATTGTCTAATTATCCGGTCCATTCTTTTTCTATACATATCTTTGAATGAGGAAAAATTCAACTGGATGACTATGCATTTCTCTACATTTTATTCATTTAGTCAAAGGTACCCTAAAGAGTGCGGCGGATGCTGGTGGTTATAAGGTTACTGATACTGTAAAGCGTCCATCATCCAGTTGTTGCAGCAAAAATCAAATTTCTAAGAAGTCTTGACCTTTTTCCTATGAATCCTGGTGGTACATCTATCTCTTCTTATCCTAAAGGATTCAAAAGGGCTGCCGTAGAGAATAGAGGCTCTGGATTCCAGAATTCTGCATTCAAAGGTGGTGTCTTGGGCAAAAATCACTCAACTATCCATGTTTTGCAGAAAGAATTCCCTAGCACTGCCACAACACTGATTATCCACAGAAATTGGATACTGACACGCCTAACCCCAATATCCTCCAAATACCCGAAGTAGGCAGGTACGTGTTGGCCGACACCCGAAGGTGATGAAGCCATACTAACATGCATGTGAAGTAACAAACATAAATAAAACTTATAAATTTAAATACAATGCTTATGCAATTGAAGAACGTGTTCAGAGCATACAATTAATCCTAGACACTAAAAAGGAATAATATAAAATTGAATGAACAAAGAGATAGGTTCTACCTTGAGAGGACTCGAAGTTGCCGATGCGGGAGTGCCTTGATGCCGAGATTGTACGCCTCGATTCTAAGTCTTGATGGGGCGCAAAACAAAGCATGATTGGACCAAGTTGATAAATAAGTAGTAATAAAACATTTAATCTTTAACGTACTAACCCCCAGGTTTATGAAAACTCAATAGTATAATATGTAATAGGTTTTCCGAGAACCCTAGCATGCCATAAAACCTTTTATAAAACATATATCATATGTAATGTGCTTAGTAGTGGTATATATATAAGGCATATACATATATATAATATTTCATTCACCCAAAGACATATAGAATACTTATTCATTCATCCGAAGGTTCTACATCACGCGTTCATAGGCAGGTCATTCGCCCGTAGGCAAATCATACGCCTGTAGGCAGAACATACGTTCGTAGCCACCATTCTACTCCCTGCCAAAGCCAAATCATATATCTCCCGATCGAAGCCACCAATCTATGTTGGCCGAAGCCATAAATAAGTATATAACCCACACTTGGTTGTAGCCATAAATAAGTATCAATTGCCCGTAGGCTCATACAACACCCACCCGAAGACATATAAGTATCAATCGCTCGTAGGCAGAACATGCGATTGCTAATATATATATATATATATATATATATATATCTATATCTATATATATACACACACTAATCAGGGTTCAGTAGCTACAACGCCATATATTAAAACCTATTCGTAGTATATAGTCATCAATCATATATACTACGAAGAACGTCAAAATTGATAAAGGATGGTATTCCGAAATATTCTCAGTAAAACATGATATCTCATAAAGTGTAAATCTAATTTACTCATAAATGTTTCATAAAACATAACCATTAAATCATGCTTTTCATGTATGCATTTATAATGGTAAAATATGCATTATAGAAGTGGTCCACTCACAGATACTTCGCCGTTGAAAAGCCACGCAAGCTAGTGAAGACGGAAACGCCACTATAAATGCACCTAAGCACATAAAAGATCTGATTAATAAAACTATACTCAAACGATTGAATTTGGGAAAACGAACGTCGGAAACGGATTCTGGACGTCAAATTAACATAAGAAGGGTCCCAGACAAATATCATAAAAGTCAACAAAAAGTCAACGCGAGGATATTCCTGGAATATTCCATTGGATCCAATCTGGGTTGGCCAGTTCAGCCGAGCTAGGCCGCAAGGTAGGGCCGAGAGTTTGGGCTGGGTTTCTTGGCCCAAAGGCCTAGGTTTGGGTCCTAAGGGTTTTGGGTTAGGTTAAGGTTAAGAATGAATGTTGTAAAACCTTATACAAGGATAGGACCGATGAAAATGGTGAAAGGTATAGAATAGCGAAGCAGGAGGCGAAGAAAGCTGTGAAAGAAGCTAAGCTAGCGGCTTTTGACATTATGTATAAGTGATTAGATACCAAAGAAGGAGAGTTGTATATCTATAAACTAGCTAGAGCAAGGGAAAAGAAGACAAGGGACCTAAACCAAGAAAGGTGCATCAAGGATGAGAATGGAAATGCTTTTGCTACAGAGAACACTGTCAAAGATAGATGGAGAGGTTATTTTCATAATCTTTTCAATGAAGGACATGAAAGGAGTACTTCTTAAAGGAAGATTTGTGAAAAACATGTTTATTTAAGCAACATCAATAGCATGCAATTAACAATTAAAGGCGGAATCATGCTTGTATGCACTTAAAAACAAAACATTTACCCATGAAATTCAAAGCCTAGTAGATAGGTGAACCAAGACTCAACTCAAAACAAAGTGAGTTGAGAAATCAATACCTTTGTAGATTCCTCTTTGCATAAGCAAAGGCTAATCACCCAAAGAGAGGGCCTTCATTCCTTTCATCTTAGATCCATGGATTTGGATGGATGAAAAGGTTTCTCCAAGTTCCCAAAATTGAGAACCTCTAATTATTCATCACCAAGGCATAATGAAGAAGAAATGAGTGACCTTGGAGGAGTTTGATTGCTAGATGATCCCTCCAAGGTGGCCTAAATTTTAGAGAGAAAGGAGAGCTTGTGTTCTCATCCTTTCCCCAAAAATTACCATATGTAAATTTTAGGCTATAAAGTCCTTTATATAGTCCCTTCAAATGAGTGACCTAATGGACCAAAAGCCCTATTCTTCTAACATGGCAAGCCTATAGGGTTTATTGGGCTTTCAAGCCCTTTGTTTATTCAAGTTGTCATACAACTTGAGTTAATGGGCTTGACATTCAAATCCCATTGGGCCTTGCGGCCCAAAACTAACCCGAGGACTTTAACGAACTTATTCGTTTGATTAATTAACATATTAATTAATCCTAGCCTTAGATAAACAATTAAACCATTTAATTATTCTTACTCATCTCCGTTGTTTCTTCAAACTCTACCTTACTCGGTGAACGATCCATTAGGTTCCTTTTAGCGAGGCAGTGGGTGATTAAAACTCTTTCTAATCGATTGTGAATTGAAACTTACTTTCAATTCTCCCGTTAGTGATAATACACTTTTAGGGCTTCCACAAACCATGGTTGACGCCTAGCAGCATGTCATGGTTACCCAAGCTAATCAGAAGAGGTGGAGAACCTATTCAGTTTTAGGATTACAAATGCAATACGGTCTTTCTCTAATACAATACTCTTGACCACATTGTTTGGTTTGATAGTTTATTCATGTCTACTATCCAATGTGAGTCTTGTGCTTATATGATTACCTTGAATGTGATTTGGAACACATTCCTAAATCTCATTCATACTTTGGCCAAAGATTCAAAATCATATCATAGAGTATTCTCCCTCAAACAGTTTGAAGGTTAGAGATCCCTTGTTGCGCATTCACTTGCCTCCATGGCTAAGTGGCTTAACCCCAACCATGTCATGGACACCCTCATGATGGAGTGACTTTGACATAATCAAAGATTAAGGACCTAACCACAAGACAACTGTGATGCCTCAGGTCAAAAGACTAATTTGCATTATCCCAACCATGAGTTCTCATGTGACATGAATATGAGAACTCTTCGTTGATCGTGTTCAGTGAACTCATTCTCTATTGAGCACCTACGTACTTGTCTTGATGTCACACACACCAATGACTCGAGACTAGTCACTCTCCCTGAGAGAAGACATAACACGTACTGATCTTAACAGACTGTCAATGCCCAATTGACAATTCTATGATCAGGAACGTTTAGGATGTGTCAATGAAAAAATGGTCTCATGAATCTAACTTCTTTAGATCGCATTCTTCCAATCAAATATTCCTTGGACTTATCGTTTAAGCATATAACATTTATATGAGACGGCTCAAACAATAATGTTTGCCCTTAATATTAAACTAGATTAGTTTAACATGTGAAATGTCCATAAAGTATCATCATATGATTGGTTTTAGGGCACATTTCCAACACTTCTTTGGGGGGAGTTGAGTAACTTAGAAGAGTGTAGAAACTACTCATTTTACCGCCGAATTAGGAAATAAGAAGTGGTTGTAGCTTTGAAAAAGAT